TGCTGCTGCTGCTGCTGCTGTCTGCGTCGCTCTAGAGACGAATAGGGAGACAGACGGACGATAAAGATGTACAAAAGAGAAAATAAATAAAATAAATTATTTTTTTTTTATTCTTTCTTCTTCTGCGGCTTATTGAGATGTATGTACACCCCAGCACAGCCTGTGCAGCAACCACATACCTGCCTATACACCCCATCATTTTTCTTCGTTTTTTCTTTATTTTATTTATTTTTTCGTTTTCTTTTCTCTTTATAACATATTTTTCTTCTATTTAATTAATATTTACCTGAAACTCATCTAATTTACTTTCTATATACTACACATACACCAGCCCTCCGTCTCTATATAAACCCTAACCCCCCCCTCCCGCCTCCCCCCAGCAGCTATTCTTCTTTGTCTCTCTTTCTTTTTCATTCTCTCTCTCTAATATTTTATTTCTTTTTTCTATTTAAATACACCCCAGGGGCCCCTAAGTGTTGAGGGGCCCCCATGCCTCACCATCTGCGTCGGGGGGCCCCTGCGGCTGCTGCTACTGCTGCTGCTGCAGTTTCTGCTGCTGCTGCAGCAGCAGATGAGTTATATCCCCATCCATATGAAAAGGAGAAGAAGGGGGGGGGGGCCCCCCCTCCCTCTTCTCCTCTCTGTACCCTTTTATACACCTCTTGGGGGGGGGCCCCCCCCTTTGGTTTGGCTGATATGTTACTATATGAGCGGTGGCGCCTGCGTACTATTTTGTATAGAACGTTGGGGTGTATATACAGCTGCGGTGAGGATAGAGAAGAAGAAGAAGAAGAGAGAAGAGAGAGATATAAAGATATTGATTATAAAGCTATAGAGAGAGAAGAAGAAGAAAGAAGAATACACTCGTTTCTGCTGCTGCAGCAGCAGCTGCCTGCTGGGATACCAATGGACCTTGTTGAAGGCCTTGCCTGGGGGGAGTGCCTTTCATACTTTTGTAAGCGCGAAGCAGCAGCAGCAGCAGCAGCAGCAGCAGCAGCAGCAGCAGCAGGAAACAGCAGCAGCAGCAGCAGCAGCAGTTGCTGTTTTCTTCATCCTATTTCTATGCCTTCTTTAATCGCCAGACTAGCTAGACGTTTGTGGTTTATATCTCCTTCTTCTTTTTCTTCTTTTTCTTCTTTTTCTTCTTCTTTATCCTCATCAGCAGCAACAGCAACAGCAGCAACAGCAGCAACAGCAGCAGCAGCAGCAGCAGCAGCAGCAGGTGGCGGTTCAGTGGATATATTAGATTATATACCTTCCTGGTTTTCTTTTTTATGTGAGGAGATATGTTGTTTTTTTATTTTTGTTTTATTGCATATGAAAGTTATTATAAATAAACATAACGGGGTGTATGTACACCTCACCAATACAGAATGGAATAACAGGTTTAAGCAACTCACCTGGATGCTTTCTTCTCTTTCTTCTGTCTCTTCTTCTTCTTCTCTCTCTTCTTCTCTTTCTTCTTCTGTCTCTTCTTCTTCTGTCTCTTCTTCTTCTTCTTCTTCTTCTGTCTCTTCTTCTTTATCTTCTTCTTCTTTATCTGTCTCTTCTTCTCTCCCTTTATCTTCTTCTTCTTTATCTTCTTCTTCTTCTTCTTCTTGTTTGCCTTACTCTATAGAAGACAGCAACAGAAACAGCAACAGCAGCAACAGCAACAGCAACAGCAACAGCAACAGCAGCAGCAGCAGCAACAACAGCAGCAGCAGCAGCAACAGCAGCAGCAGCAGCAGCAGCAGCAGCAGCAGCAGCAGGAGGAGCAAGTATTGGTACCGGGGTGTATGTGTGCCTGCATTGGGGTGTATAGACAGCTCCTTAACGAAATATTATAAAATAAATAGATTTACATTTCCGCATTCTTTTTGGCTTTTCTTTGATTTATATAAACTTCAGTGGATCGTCACCACAGAAACAAATACACTAAAAACTTTTAGTGTTTTATATACACCAGCAGCAGTAGCAGCAGCAGCAGCAGCAGCAGCAGCAGCAACAGCAGCAGCAGGAGGAGGAGGAGGAGGAGGAGGAGATCCTGCTGCTGATGGTGCTGGTGGTGGTGGTGCAACAGCAGGAGCAATATTAGATGCACAGCAACAGCAGCAGCAGCAACAGCAGCAGCAGCAGCAGCACCCCGCAACAGCAGCAGCAGCAGCAGCAGCAGGAGCAGCAGCAGCAGCAAATAAGAAGTTGCTGCTTCCTTCTTTGATTGATGCAGCAAGAGAAGAAGCAGAAGAGTTTCTCTGTCTCCTTGGGGCTGTCTCTCCTTCTTCTCTCCCCTACCGTATCGACTACTTGCATGCGTTGTACACTGACACGCAGCAGCAGCAGCAGCAGCAGCAGCAGCAGCAGGAGCAGCAGGAGGAGGAGGAGGAGGAGGGGGGGCAGGAGAAGCAGCAGCAGGAGAGACGAGAACAGCAGCAGCAGCAGCAGCAGCAGCAAGAGGAAGAGAAAATACAGCAGCAGAAAACGCAGAGAAAACAGCAACTGCAGCAGCAGCAGCAGCAACAGCAGCAGCAACAGCAGCAGCAGGATCTGGGGTGTGCTTCAAGCTATTGTCATTCGCTGAATCAAATAGAGGGAGGTGTACAGACACCAGAAAATATAAATTCTGCTGCTGCACCTGCTGCTGCTGCTGCACCTGCTGCTGCAACATCTGCTGCAGCAGCAACAGCAGCAGCAGCAGCAGCAGCAGCAGCAGCAGCAGGGTTAGGGGAGAGAGAAGCAGCAAAAAGAACGGAGGAAGAAAATGACGATTATGGTAGTCAACGCAGTGGCTGGAGACAC